AGCTTGTTTTAAGTGTAACCTATACACACACACACACACATTGCTTGGGAAAAACATTTTCCTGTGACTCATTCTGCTTTTCATCTGGACGGCGTTGTAGCATGAAATCTGTTTTAAAAACTCCCAGACAACACACAACACACAATGCCCCCAAATGCCATAATTCTTGTCTACGCACAAGAGTGTGTGCTGCTACACTTGATGCGAAATAAATAATTACAAACAAGTCAAGCGGACACCAGACAGCCAGAATTATGTGGAAGTGTTAGAAGAAGTGTGTTGCATGTGGCATGCTGAAAGAGCGGAAAAACGGAAAAAGGGGGGAAAAGCCTCACAAAAAAGGGAAGGATACTCGAATGGCTGCAGGGCAAATGTTTAACCAAAGTGCAACACACTCTGCTTGATTATGCTTTCCTCAAGTCTGCAAAATGCATTAATAAAGTCGAATCTGTGGTGGAATTGAAGCAAATATATAAGCATCTTTATATATTTAAATGGTTACTAGGAAAATTCAAAAAACGTGAATACTTATAGATCTTCAAGAAAAGTCTTGTTTAAAATTAGCATAAATTTAAAGAAAGTTCGCTGAATATAACATTCTGGAAGGTATATAATTATATAAACTATCATAAGGTATAAATAATAATATATTTATCTTAGTGATATAAATATTTTTTAAAATGTATTTGTTGTAAGTTTTTTACATATTTTTATACCCTTTTAGAGTATTATAATTTATTCAGAACCTTCAAACACTATGAAGGAGTCATTTCCGACCTATTAATCATATATATTCTTGATCAGCTTTACAGCCCAATCGATCTAGCTAGTTTTTGGAGAAAAAAATTTTTTAATTTTTAAAATTGTCACAAAAAAAAAAAAAAAATTAATAATTTTTTTTAATTTTTAACTGAGTACGCAGATTTATAAACCAAGTCAAAACTAACTTAGGACAGCTTTCTGAATTAAATTTAATATTTTTGTCCAAGTTATGATATTTAAAACCACAAGGGTATATAAACTTCGGCTTTCCGATGTTACTTTCTCTTTTCTTCAGTTTTAATAATTTAGGTGACAAAAATACTTCAAAAGTCGATCTCAAAAAATGTCCTTTAATAATAAAATATTCTTTGCTTATACTAGAAGAAAAACTTAAAAATACAATTTAAGAATAAAAACTTGCATGTTAAAATACAAAAAAAAATATTGTAAAATATTCTCTACACACCTTAGAGCATTTCCACTTCGTTTTACTGGGAAAAACTCTGCAAATTTATTTATATTTCTTTACCATCCGATGCCATTTGTGTTTATGAAGACGACGCGTCAGCGACCCCAAACAAAGTCAAACTCAACATTAAAAAATAAAGCCAAGAGCTGCAAAAACTAAACTAAAAAAAAAAACTGAAACAAAAACTATGCAAAAACAGTTACCATTTTTATATTTTTGTATGTATTTCTACGAGTGTGTGTAAAGTTTTTTGTTGTTTGCTCTCGGTTTGTGTGTGTGTTTGGGTTGCTTTTGGCCAGACTTGACTTTTGCTTTGGCATCTTTTTGGCCCAAACGAACCCAGATCCCCCCTCTCAGCTCCTGTATGCACTTGCATTTATGAATGTTTAAGCATTCGGAGTCCTGGGCTCTGAACTCGAACTCCACTGAGTGGAGATGATAAAGTTTTTAGTTCCTCAGTTCTCAGTTCTCTCCGGAGTAAGAAGTGAACAATTGAAAAATTCATAAAGCCAGGCAGGCGGCAGGCAGCGAGCAGGAAAACTGAGACGCTGGGAAAAACTTTACCGAAACTCTAATGATGGCTAATTATTACAAAATACACACGCTCTTGCTCACATAAGTTAAACCATTGCGATATTCCCTCGACCGAGGACTGGTGACTGCCAAACTGTGAGTGAAAACTTTCGTATGCAAACAAAGTTAATTTACATTTTAAAATCCATCAGATTGCAAAAGCTTGTTTAAATAATTGCAAAAATACAGTTGTGCCAGAAACAGAAATAAAAGGATGAGGAGGGGAAAAATAAAAAAACACTTTAAACCCATTTTATAGCGATATAGTTTTTCCTCGAGCTGTGTTTTTCTTTCGACTTGCTCATGGTAATTTTCGCCAAGTTTGGGCAATCAACTTATATGAAAGCAAATGAATGAAATCTATATGCATATGCATTTCATGTTTCCGTATGCACACATAGCCATGGCAATTACAAGCCCTCGAGGACACCAGCTCGGTCCTCCCCGTTCATAATTATTTGCCTGGAAATATGTAAATCGGTGGCCGATAGCAAACGTTAAATGTGATTTCGCAGCCAGTTCGAAACTCTGTTGATTTTGCTGAATTTTTGCAAAAATTACCTGCTATGATCGAATGGGGATTTTTACCTCAAATTGATTTGATTTCGTTTGTAAATCCACTGATTAGAAGTAAGCGAGAGAATTGTGCGGCAACAACTGGCCATGCGAAAAAATTATCCTCGCCATTTAGAGCGTTAAATCTTTGAAATCGGATGGAAATTTCAACAGTTTTTGGTTGAATTTTGAATGGTTTAACAGTTTATTTTGAGTGAGCAAAATTTGGCAAAACAAAATGCATATTTTAAAATATATTTTTAGGCCCTAAAAATGTACTATTTATGTGAAAAAGTATATAAAAAAAAAACAACTTTATCCCTTGCCAACTTATGGATTTTAAAATGGAAAATCATCAAAAATTCTTGCTACCTTTCAAGCAGACTTTTCTTCCAACCAATAAAATCCATCGAGAATTTAATATACCCTTTTAAGGCAAACCAAATATATAACGAAGAGTATTTTGGCCAAAAAATACCAATGTTAAAGCAAACAAATACCAACAAAATCCTTTTTTTTGTGAATATTTCAAGTTTTTGTTTGGTTTCCTCCTGCAGCAACTGTTAATTACAATAACAGTAAGCGGATGGGGGCCAAAAGTTCCACGTGATCGAAACAAAAAATAAAAATAGGGAAAAGGGAAGAAAATGCAGCAGATGGTCAAACCCAAAAAAAGGATAGCATACATTTGAGCGATGAGCAATTGAAAATGCAGCCGCAGTTGCATTGAGCTGTTTGTACAGTATACTATACTATATACACACACTTTCTATATACATATATATACCAAAAAATCTCAACACAATAAAGCTGTTGCTTTCGAAGGATAAAATATATGACTATATGTATATATGGGAAATATATATATCCACAAGCATATACATCTATGGATGGAGCTTCATGGATTGTGGAAAAAACAGATTTCCAGCAGCAAAATACACGAAAATTGAGTGGAGCGAGAGCGAAGAGAATATATAAAAATAAAAAAGAGCTGGAAACAGAGTACACAAAAAACTAAATTCAGGCAGACAAATTAAAACTAAGCGCTGCATGTGCAAACAACCGACTCCCCCCAAACCCACCCACAATTTCCACCAGCAGCACTCGACCCAATGGCGTCCACTCGACCATTTGCTCCATTTAGCTGAATACACACTCAGAAAAAGGCTAAAAAAAAACAAGGAAGGACCAAAAAACTAAACTGCGTGCTTAGTTTTATTTGGATGGTGCTGCTAAAACTGTAAAGCGACCACAGTGCGGCAAGTAAAAGCTTCAAAGTTTCATTTTCCCTCACTGCTACTACCAAAATATATCAAAAAAACATAGAGAAAAATGCATAAAAAACGTAAAAAATTTTAAAAACTAAAAAAACGCAGGCTAAAGGAAATGCAGCTAGTGAAATTTGATTGAAATTGTTTCCGGGAAACTTATTTCACAGATTTTTCCACCAGCAATTATGAGCAAATACTTCAAGAGCTAATGAAAAACTATGGAAAAATTCCCATAGTAAAATTAAATTTAATGGCACACTAAAATGAGTACCAGGAAAGCAGTTCACAATATATATTTTAGTATATATTTCAATTCAATTATTTCCGCTTAATTTGGTTTCCAGCAAGTTTTTCTATAATTTCAGAAAACGATTAAATAAAAAGCCAGCGAATAATAAAGTTTAATGGCGCGGAAAGAAATTTGAATATTTTTTTTTCTTTCTTATAACAATTGGCTTGTAAAAAAGTGCATTTTGATAAAGTTATTTAAAAACTACACTTTCATTTTAATTCTCTAAATTATTATCAACAAACTTATTATTACAGACATATTTATAAATGCTTTATCACCTACAAACTCCTTGTTTCAATTATAAAACCCTTGTAAAAATCGTTTTATAACAAAAACTAAATACTGTGTAAAATTCTTGGCCTCTTTTTTTTGTTTTTGGCTAAATAATCCCCCAATTTGTGTGGGAATTCATTTCGGGAACACAAACCAATTGGGATGCTGTTGTTCCACTCCCGTTTGCCATTGTGTTATGGTTGGCATGCCATGTGAATTATTCATTTTTGTGGTATAGATTTACAATTTCCACGAGCTTCTATAGTACCTCCTCCTTCTTTTTTTTCCTATTTTTATTTCTCTATTCCATTTGTGTTCTTTTTTTTAGTTGCATTGTTGATCCTTTATTTTTGGTGCATATACTGTACATTCTTGCTTTGCTATTGATTTTCGTTTTCACTCTGCTGCGTTAATAATAGTGGGAAAAATAAATCAAATCAGTTTAGCAACGAACGGATATGATATATCAATGTTGTTTTATGAATTTGTATTGGATTTCGGACGGGTTCGCTCTTAATTAAATGTGCGCGGCTAGAATTTGCACAACGTAATTGAATTGCCGTTTTGCCAGTTTGCACGGAAATAAAAATGTGCGTTCAAGGCTGGCCACTGAGCTAAAATTAAATGCAATTAATAATCTATCGAATGGAATTTAAATATTAAACACATTTAGAGACATTTAAGTACTCTTTCTGGTACCATTAGTTTATATAAAACATAAAACCTATGATATCTTTTCCTTTATTCTCATTATTCTCTTAAATTTCTTCCCATGTATTCATCACCTTTTTCTCTGTTTTTCCAGGACACCTTTGGCCTTCGATTGTCCTGATCTCCTTGCTGTCCTTCGTCTCCGGTGACGATTCACTGGACACCCGTGAGGGCGTCGATCTGGTGCTCAAATGCCGCTTCACCGAGCATTACGACTCGACCGACTTCACCTTCTACTGGGCGAGATGGACCTGCTGCCCCACATTGTTCGAGAACGTGGCCATTGGCGATGTGCAGCTTAACTCGAATTATCGGTGAGTGTGTCCAGGACCCGCATATATATATATCCTTGCATTTCAGGCGGTCGAGATTGGTCGAGATTGGCCTGTGTCCTGTGCAATCGACTGATAAATCACAGGCGGCCTCATAAATTCAACGCCATCGCTGATGGCTGTCAATGAGGGGGAAAGGGGTATACTGATGTCAAGGGTTAAAGGACATTTATTTAATTGCCGGCGAGGAGCGAAACGCGTAAGGGATTGTTTTCCCCCATGACGATAAAAGATGAAAGATGCGCCAAGTCTCGTGCGTTCAGCTGTTAAATTTATTAAAATTGCCAGCGACAGGCATCGTCGCAACGTCATCGATGCCATTGTACATCATTAAATGTTCATCTGGCTGGCGATAATTCATTATCCTTCCCTCCGCCAATATCCCTCGTTTGTTGGTGCAAACAAGTTGATGGCTTCCCCTCTGCTCGCGCGTATCCTTTTCGTCCTTTTTTTCTGGAGAGCCATCAGGCGCAGCTGTTAGCCCCATGATTCTAGGCTTCAAAAACAAAATTATTGTTTATGAAAGGGAAACAGAAGTCGGGGACTAGGGATAAAACTTGTCCAACTTGGCTAATCAAGAAATGGGAAATGGATAAATAATTATAGAAGCTCTGTGAATATTTATATCTTTCATTTAAAGATGAGAGGAAAATATTTGGTAATTTATAGGAAATTTGTATTAAATTAAATATAATAAGGAAATTATTAAAGCTATACTTTCATAGTAAAAAAGATCCCTTCTTTTGTTTAACATTTCTTTAACGTTTTGTATACCTTCTTATTTTTGCTCACTATTTCTCCCACTTTATCCCATTGTCTTGAAGTATTGGCAACACATTGCGTATACGCAACTTCAATTCAAACGCATTGGTTATGGGATTTTCCTTTTTAAAAATGGGAAAATCAGAAAAGGCAAATGAGTGAGAGTGGAAAAATCGCGTGGGCGGCGGAGAACTTTTCAAAATGTTTGAATAAAACGCATTGAATACTGCTGCATATATTTATTTATTAATCATAATAATCATTTTCCACAACATTTTGAGCGTGAATAAACAACAACAGGAGTAGCAGCAGGAGAAAAGCAAAAGAACAACAAAAAATAATAATAAAGAGTAAAAGTATGGATAGGCTGAGAGGGAAATATTCAATGCGGCGTATGCTGCAAATCGCTTGGAAAATTTTCAACAGGCCATTCAAAAATCCTCGCCAGACAAAAGAGCCCATCGCAAGGTTAAGGGGGCGGGTAGAGGATGTGGGGGGCGTGGCAGACGACAGGCATAATAAATAAATGATCCAACAGATACATGTACTGCATATTCTTGCTAAGTAGCCACCACCGCCGCCGCACAACATGCAAAATGCCAAAAACGTGTTCGAAGCAAAGCGAAAAACAGCGCAGAGCCAGAGCCAAAAATAAATAAGAATTATTATTACACAATTTTGCTAATCGCGCGTTAAACAATTTGCTTGATTTATGAGGCCCCAGGATCCAGACTAATGGTCCAAAACGGATCAGAGCAACGGAAGGAGACTGAGATAATATGTATATATATTTAAAATGTGAAGATTTGTTACGGGGAAATGATGGATTTTTAATTTTTTGTGTGGAAATAAATATTTGGGAAACGTAGAATAATTATGTAGATAATAGAAGAATCTAATTTTGAATGAAAATTAAATAAAATTAATATTTTGCATTTTATATGCTAACTTCATTTAATAATTCGTATTGTTTAAAAGCTTACTAAAGTTCTACAGAAATTTCCTACAACATAAATATTTGTTTAAGTAGAAAAAAGAAGGAGATTCTTAATATATATTTATTAAATACTTTTTATTGCATTTGCAGATTTATTAAACTCTCCATGAAGCAAGTACATATTTAATCATTTCTTAAGTCCCTTTTATGTAACTTTTTACACATTTACTTATGTAAAGTACACATTTTCATTTAAAAAACATTCATTAAACAATTTAAACAATTATTTTCTCAATTTATATCATTAAGTTCCCTAAATAAATCATCAGTTCTATGAATTTATTCCTTCATCTCTTCCTTAAATCCTTTAAAACACTTTTAATCCACAACATAATCTCAAAACATATTCCCACAACCTTCTTCTTTCAATAAAAACTATTAAACAAATCTTTTTAAAGAAAATCTCCTTCAGTTAGAGAAATCTTCACCTATAGAAAAACCACCCACTAAACTAACCATTTGGCAGTTTCCTCACTTCTCAAAGCAAAAGAACAAATTTTCCCGGTTTTCTCCAAGTCAAGTTCTAGTTGTTAAAAGGCCATCAGATTGCTGGGCTTTCCTTTGTTTCCATTTTTATTTTTGTGAACAGCCATACATTTAGTCATTGACAGGAGGCGGTGTACAAAAGGCAATTGTGATCCCTAAAAGGCGTGACCGTCGGGGAACAAAAATCTTTTCAATTTTTTATGCTCACAGCTTGCACTCTGAATGAATGGATGAAAAACAAAAAATAAAAGAAAAACATAGTGGGAAAAAGAGAAGGGTTTGCGCCTGTTTTGCATTGACATCGAAACAAAAGGCTAATTGGGATGTTAGACAAAAGGCGATGCAACTCTGGCTCACATTTTGCCGGTTGCCTGATTTTTTTCCCCCAAGGACTACTCTCGCCTTTATGGAAAACAGGCTGAAGGCTGAAAAAATACAGGAAAAATGCCTGTTAGCCAGAAGTTTTCCAAATAACAGAAGCAGAAGCAGAAGCAGCCGTGGCAGCAGAAAAAGATAAATTGTTTTTTAAATGAATTCAATAAAGCGTGCCATAACAAAATACGAAATACTCGAAACACAAAAGGGAAAGCAGCGACTTTTGTGGAAGATTTGGAACATAAAACGCCTATACAGTTGGCATGGCTTATTTGCATTTCAATTTGCATAAGTGGAGGGATCCCTCTTTCCCCTATAGGGGGATATATCCCCATATATCCACGATAGATGTCGCGACGACCGTAGGCATCCGCATCGGTTTGGAAACAACACACGTGTTGCCATTTCCCAGGCTTCTTTCCCCACAAAAGTCAGCATTTGATCTGCGTATTTTGATGTATGTCTGCCGGCAAGGTAAAGGTTAAACGTTGACCCGCATAAAAAGGGAAAACATGGAATTGGTGGGAGAGGAGGAGGGTGGAAAAACTGGTAACAGGATGACTTAGGTCCATCCATTGATAACACAACACACACAAGGCAAGGTTTGCATAAATAGCAGAAATTATTGCCGCACATCCATCACCCGAAAGAGGCGAAATGTGTCAGCTGAGGAGCTCAAGTTCCCCCTAAAATGTATATAGTATAGTATTTTATATATATTTTGCAAAAAAACAAATAAGAACAGGAAGAGTGTCCTGTAGGGTGTGGATTTTACTCGTATATGAGACACTCCTTCGGATTTGGGTAATGGTTAATATAAAAGTTATACAAATAAGATATTTTAAACAATAACTTAACTTACTTCTGAATCCTGAAATATTTTTAATACCTTCTTGACATTTAGAAAATTATTCAAATCTAAAATATGTCTCTAGAAAACTTCAAGGAGAGATTAAAATCATCTACAAAAGGTTTAAATTTGTTATTGATAGTAAAATAGATTCACTTTTACTAGAACCTTTTAAGTAAATATATCCATTCTTTATAACATCATTCGAAATAAATAAAGGTTTATACTGAGCTTCTCTAAAATTATGTTAAGTAAAACTTATAATAACTTAATAAATACGTTTAATCATAACTAGCATAAGTTAATTCAATCAGTAATTAACTAAGATAAATGGATGCTATTTTAACAAGTACTAGTTTAACTCTTTCTTCATTTAATTTCTACCAAAACATCCATTAAAATGATTAACCAATGATTAAAATTTAAATATAAAACCAAATTCTAAATCCACAACTTTCCTATTAAATATAAATTTCGATACATTTTGCATTTAAAATCAATACCACAGAATATATATAAAATGGATAAACCATTTTAGCTCTTTCGCCTTTTGGCAAATCCCTTTCCCAGGTTCGGTCCCCTTGGGAGTATCAAAAAATGTTGCTACCACAACAAAGAAGCAGCTAGGCGCCAGTCGGAGAGCCGCCTTTGAGGCTTTGTTGCAAATCAAAATTAAAAATCGATAGACAGCATGAGTTTCATATTAAATTTCTTTTTAACACAATTGAAAAATGCCTCCCACTGATGATGTTCCCGGATGCTTCCGCTTTTTTTCTTTTTTCATGCCTTACATTCGAGGCTTTTTTTCTGTATGTGTTTTGCTATCTGTTCAGTGAAAAGCGAAAAATTTTCCTTCATTTTTGATTGTTTTTCACGCTCTGGCAGCGAAATGTTTGCCGCACTTAAACAACAAGAGGAGTTTCCACAGCGCAAAATTTCCAATATCATTCGGCAAACAGGCGGCAGGCGGCGGTCAGGGAACACTCGAGGTTGTTAAGGTCATCAAAATGACAATTTTTGGGGTTTGCTAGGGGGAACCACAAAGCAAAAAAATATATATGATAAGAGCTATATAACATCGGGCCACTGGTCAGAGTCAGAGGAAAAACGAAACAATTCCCGGACTCAATACCAATATAGCAATAGGAATCCCCAATACGAGTCATCCATCAATCGTTGGCTCCTGCGTGATCATTGATGGAGTAGGGCAATTTCAAAATTTGATTGATTCCCAGAACTTATTGAAAATTAGCTGGTCAAGTGAGTAAGCGAAAAAGGTTTGGGGTTTGAAAATGAGATGAGTATTCAATAATCGGTGATTTTAAATCACTAGAAAAGTGTCTAGAAGTAGGCAGTGATTTATTTTACTTGAGGAATTTTAGATAGAGTCCTGTTTTGGAAAAATTTTAATGTTATATTTATTAAATCACTTGAAAAGTGTCTAAAAGTAGGCAGTGATTTATTTTACTTGTGGAATTTTAGATAGAGTCCTGTTTTGGGGTGATTTTTATG